TTTGTCATCAATCACCAAAAAGGGGGAGATTGTAAGTGCATCTAGTGCCACCCCTAGTTGGTTTTGGAGTATTGACGACAAAGTTGGTTGAGGGACTAATGCGTTTGTGAGAATTGCAGGATAACGCAGGTAGTGTCCCTCATTGATTCGGTTTACCTACCGGAGATGACCCCTAAAAATGTATGAAGACATTGAAGACAATGGTGGTATGAGAAGATATTCATATTGAAGACTATGACATGAGAAGACATTGCGTGAAGACTATGGAGCGCAAAGACTGTGTGGATTCGTTGCTTCCTTTTCTTCTTTGTTGAGTCATAGGAACCACCGTACTTTTAAGTGGGGTCCAAGTGAACTAAGTCAGAGTGACTGAAGTGATGCTCAACTCAAATCCTATGTCTTCGAGCGAAGATAATGAGAGCAAACCTTATCCAGAGTTGGATGAGTCAGCTTTGCTTGTAGCCCAAGTAAAGTTGCCGCGTGTGTTTGAAATCTGACCATTGGAACACGTGTCAGTTCCTTAGTGACCCAGGGTCATTTTGGACAAATCAGGTCGGGTTGCCTAGTGGCTATAAATAGCCCACCCCCTACACCATAAATTGGTGGCTGCTCAGAGTTTGTACACGGCTTTTGTCGTTTGAGAGCAACCCACCTCGAAGCATTTGAGAGAGAGAAAAATCCTTGCGAGGACAAAGCCCAAACACCCAGGGCCAAAGAGTGTTAGGCATCACTGAAGTCTTTATGTCTGTGTGACCTGAAGACTTATTACACTTGAGGACTGTGAATCCTCCAGCCGGTTAGGCGTCGCGTTCTGAGCATCCAAGAGTCATTGTGGATTGTCGGGTGAACGAAGTCTGTGAAGGTTCGGAAGTCTACCTTGAAGACTTACCAGAGTGATTGGGCGAGGACTAAGTGACCTTAGATCAAGGGGAATAAGGTGAAGACACGGTCTTCTGAGTTGAATCTCAGCCTCCCTAACCAGACGTACAGTTGTCACAGCAACTGGAACTGGTCCAACAAATCATGTGTCTTCAACAAGCAACTGGTTCTATATCTTCCCTCCTTTACTTTGAGTTTGTCTTCGTGAAGTCATTTCTTATCTGTCTTATCTGATTGACTTCATTGCTTGACTACTATTGTTGATTGGCTTCATACTATCTTCCATCCTGATCCTACTACCTAGCTGCTATTAGTCTTCGTACGTTAACGCTATTGCATACTTGACTATGGCTTGCTTGTTGTAGTTTATCTTCCGCTGCATATCAATTAGGTTATTTCTATTGTTTGTCTTCGAAACTTCCAAGTTTTGAAGACTTTCATAAAAATCGCCTATTCACCCCCCCCCTAGTCGATAACTAGCACTTTCACCATCGGATCCGTCACCAACGTTCTGCCCCAAACCACTTGCTCCGAGGCCACCACCAATTGTGCGGCCATTGTTCCTCCGATCTCGTTTGAATTCTCAACAGCCTTTCTGTTTGAAGCTTCCCGATTGGCCTGACCAGTCAAACGCTTGAAAGCAGACATGCGCCGCGTCAGCCTGCTTAGGATAGGGACAACTGGGGCCTCCATCGCAGCGACAGGTGGGGACTCCATGGGGGGGAGGCGCCAGTCATGCCCCGCTGGTCTGGACCAGGCCCCACCCCCTTCTCCGACGGTGATGCCGCCGTGACCGCCGACGCGGACATCCGGAACGCCGAACTGCCATGCCAGCCTGCGTGGCCTCGGCCCACCGCCCGTGAGGTTGCCATCGTCGTTGTCTGGAAGGCCACTTTGGCCACTGTTTGATGAGCTCCCAAAGAACCACGGCTCGCCGGCCTCCCTCAAGTCCATGATCATGTCGATGTGAATGAGAACCTTATATTGCAGGAGGGCGGGCGGCGCCTCCATGCCCGGCTCCGGCACAGCCAGCCACCGAAGTATGGGGATGTCTTGTGGGTTCGCCGTCCATGCCGTGAGCTTGAACGAGGACAAGTCGGAGCGAGAAGCCGTCTCTGGTGCCACCGCCTCGACCTTGCAAGAAGACCCGAGCAACTCCTCCACCACGGAGCGATCCCATGCATGAGGGGGGATGCCCTCAATTTCCAGCCACACCTTGAAACTAAACACCGAATGAACTGCATGTGATTGTCGATTCCACAGCCTAAAGATCAGCATGTCTCCTTCGAACTCCACTGAAGAGCAAGCCGCCACTCTGTTCCGCACATCCGCAAAAGCGAAAACCACCAAAAAATCCTTTAGCCTGTAGCAATGCACTAACACGAGCTCTGGGGCAATGTCCAGCTTCCCGGCGAGGACCTCCTTCACGCGCGCCAGCGCAAGCACCCTCCTTTGGCCGCCCACATAGGCCACCATGGCGTACTGAAGGCGACGCTCCAAATCGGACACCACCGCGGAACGCCTAACGACGCATAGCTCCGCGGGCGCCTCGACAGCCCTGGCCTCCACTTGAAGTCGCGGCGGTGCCAGAGGTGGCCACGCCGACTCGACACCCAGAGCCGCGGGCTGGGGCGCCGGGAACTGGCTAGCGCTGCTAGGCACCGCCACGTGCGCCGGGCACGGGGATGGAGCAGAGCGACACGCCACCTTGGCCACCGCCTCCCTGCGCAGATCATCCACCGACGAGGGGCTTCTCGGCCGCTTGCAGTCCTTGGAGCCATGGCCGGGCAAGCCGCATCTAAAGCAGACGATCTGGTTGGTGCACTCGTTCTTGTAGTGGCCCTTCTCCAAACACTTGAAGCATTTGTCTCTCATCTCCGGCGAGACCTCAGCGACCGGCGACGCAGGCCACGCGGGGGCCCATGCATGACCGCTCGGGCCGTCGGGGGAGTGCCTCATCCTCCAAAGCTCTTGAGGGAGGCGGGCGCACCCACGGGGCCTGCAAGGCTGCACCGGCCCAGGGGCGGGGGCCTCGTCCACCACCGCGTCCGGGCCGCGAGCATCCGAGCCCTCGGAACTGGACGAGATCCCCAGCCCCGACACCACCGGGCGCTCCCCCTGCGGACGGAACGACGAGGTCACAAGGAGGAAACGGGGCCGGGAGGAGAGACCGGCGGCAGCGAGAGAGGTGGTCGCCGCAGTCAAAGTGGCTGCGGCGAGAGCGCCGGCGCAGTGGACGCCGGCGCCGGAGTGGCGCACGACGGGAGGGAGCGGGGGAGCAGGGGAGCGAGGGAGTATTTTTAGTCCTACCCTCACAAGTCACAACAACCTCCCCCGCTAAAAGAAATCGCTTGATGGAGCTGGCGTCACCCCGTCATCGCCAGTTGCAGCACCCAGCGGCGGTCGCCCCAACTCGCCTCCGCTCCACAACCAACACCCACTGGTTGTACCATCCCTCACCATCGGTTGTAGCATTCCTTAACCACCGACTGTAACATCCATCGCCTCCTATTAGAGCAAAAAATCCTTGTGTGCCACGGCCCCAACGCAATGGGTTTGGCTCCTCTGCAGTCAAGTACTTACTGTACCAGTACTGTAGCAGGTGAAATCGGTCGTCCATTGCAATCTGATGGCTATCCTTCGTCTTCCTCCCCTCTCAGTCTTTGCAGAAATTGAGGATCCCAAATACCACCACGCCAACGGCCGTCTGAATTGCACCGGTAAGGAAGCGGACGTAGACACCGATGGTCCCACATGCATGGCTGGGATCCGTAGGCCAGAGCTCCATCCAGTTTCACAAAAGGTACGAGTCCCCGCAGCCCCGCTACCCTACGTCCGCTTGTCCCTTCCCAGACAACCCCATGTCCTGGTGGGAGACCTTAACCGTGGCTGCAGATTATCCGCCCGCCGACCTTCTGGAGAACCTCTCCGCCACCCACCGTCGTGTAGTCGCTGTGTACCACAAGCTGTGAAGCTGAACTTCTTCATTGCGGTCGAGGCGGTGTGGTTTTGCAACGACGAGGTATTCGGGTTGCACTGCATGGTCATGTCGTACAACATCGGATGGGGCGTGACCACCACCGGCCTGATCATGAACCTGTGTCGCGCGCTCTAGAGAGAATTCATCGATGCACTTGCTGAGCATCCAGAGTTGAAGGTGCATAAGCTTTTTGCAGTTGTGCCATTGAAATCCGTTGTTGGACGGCAGCGCTCAGACGCTGGTGAAGAAGCGGCATGATTGTATGGAGTATGGACTGGCTCGCCGAGCAGCAGCCGACAACTGGAGATCTTGGCGCACGGCGACACAGCGGTATTCATGAGCCATTGCGGCTGGAATTCAACCATTCGGCCGCCGTTGTGGTGGTATTTGGGATCTTCCATTGCTGCAAAGACCTAGGGGGGAGGAAGATGAAGGAGAGTCATCGGATTGCAATGGACGGTGGATTTGTCTGCTACAGTACCGGTGCAGTGAGTACTTCACTGCAGAGGAGCCGAACCCCAAGGCAACATATTTCGACAGCGAGGCACCCAGCAAAATGAGTTAGCGCCACTAATCAACGACAATGCATCTAACTCAGAAATATTTGTGTTAAACTGTCGTCATGCAGACTACACACGCAAAAAAAAAACAGGAGCGAGAATTTTAACACAAACCGGAAACACAATAACGTAGCAGGTATCCCACAAAGGATTTCTAGAAACAAGATAGAAGTATAAAATTGCATCATCCAAATCTGAACATTACAGCCAACGGTTTCACAGGGTCCAGAAAGTCACAGAAAGCCAAATATATCAAGCAAGTAATTCAAGCGCAAGCTATAAACAAAAAGGCCGCAATAAGATCATTGCCAGATCAAAACTGCAAGCAAGCAATTCAAGCACGATACAAAACCAACAGCAAATTAGCGCAAGCAGATTTATCTGAAATTCACTTATTCATTACTTGACGATACTGCTGTGCCAGCAACATTTTCAACCAACATATAACATGGGGACTCGATAGTTTTCAAACCAACACATAGGACTGACACGAACAAGAAAACAGTTCAAATGAACGACAGGGTACCACCAATCGGATGACCAAGGATAAACCAGCAGGTCCAACGCCAGGGCAATTACTGACCACCGCGGAGGCGGAGCACCAGGTGGAGGGTGGACTCCTTCTGGATGTTGTAGTCCGCAAGGGTGCGGCCATCCTCCAGCTGCTTGGCAGCGAAGATGAGGCGCTGCTGGTCCGAAGGAATGCCCTCCTTATCCTGGATCTTGGCCTTGACGTTGTCGATGGTGTCAGAGCTCTCAACCTCAAGGGTGATAGTCTTGCTCGTGAGGGTCTTCACGAAAATCTGCATACCACCACGGAGGCGGAGCACCAGGTGAAGGGTGGACTCCTTCTGGATGTTGTAGTCCGAAAGGGTGCAACCATCCTCTAGCTGCTTGCCTGCGAAGATAAGGCGCTGCTGGTCCGGGGGAATGCCCTCCTTGTCCTGGATCTTAGCCTTGACGTTG